ACTACAGAGCCGGAACTAGGGTGTTGGAAGCAGTATCCCCATCCCCAGTACCTACTCAGTGCCTTCCACTAAATCCCTACCACGTGAATGGACCCCTGGCAGAGACTCTGGGAGAAGGCTGAGAGCTTGAACCTTGGGTCTCAGTTGGTTAAAGTCAGGGCGCCTGGTGGAGAGTCTGTGGCTCCTACAGCTACTCACGTGCCCTGATTTAAACAGTTCAGGGAGGGCTACGTAAGAAGCATGATTGCTGAGGACTTGACTCAGGACTCAGACCTCCACCTGGCATGGAAGGCTGTGTTGCCCACCTTGCCAGGGAAACCCAGATCCAGCTCCCAAACTAACCAGGGGCCCATTTCTGTGTGTTCACCCGCCCCTACCCTGCTCCACAGAGTTGCAGCCCCTGTAAGGATAGCCAGGGCTCCGATTGGCACCCAACAAAAACAGGGCATTAAGATCTCCTCTCCTGAGGGACCACATCCCCAAGACTTAGACTTCAGGTGTGAGCTGGGGAGGGTGCAAAGCCCTCAACGGAAGACAAGGAGGCTGGGTCCTAGCCCAGCTCTGCTCTGGTGTGTGGTGTGACCCTGGACAAGTTGCCTACTCTCTCTGGGTCTCGGGTTTTTTTGTTTGTTTGTTTTTGTTTTTTTTTTAATCTGGAAGTGGATAGGAGAATGGGATTCAAACAATTTGGAAGACTTTGAGTGATCCCTCCCCCTTGGTGGGAGTGGGGTGGTCTGTCTCCTGTGGAGAGAAACTGGATATCTTCTGTCCCATCTCAGAGGTACTGTGATTCTATGAAGATTTCCCCTTTCTCCCCCGATGCATCTGTTTGAGGCTTTGATTGAAATTAAAATCCTGTACAAATTGTAGAGGACAAAGTGTTAAAACTGAACAGACCCTCAGAAACCGTTAATTATTCCCTGTGTTCCACAGACAAGTGCCGGGGCACAGAAATTACCCATTATGAACATGCTACTAGTCCCTGGCAGGGTTGAAGCTGACCCAGGACTCTGATATCATCCCCTAGGACTGGACGCTTACTTCCCACTGCAGGCTGCTCCAGAACCCACGTCCATGGGCAGGTGCAGCTCATGAAGCTGTCGACCTCAGTGAGTCATGGCATAGCCAACAAGTGACGCAGCACAAGGCCCCCCCCCCCCACTGTCTCTTGTGAGCAGAGTTAATCCCCAAGCTGGTGTTTCTTGGCGCCTTCGAGGTGTATTTTAAATTCTGCAAAGTGACTAAAAATATGCTTCAGCGTGTTGGGTATGAATGGCTGTGACGGGAGGGTTAGGAAAACAGATTTCATTCTGGAAGTTGCCTGCTGCCTCTTTCCAGCTTGCTGAGTTCAGTCCTGTGAAATCAGATGACAAGGTCCCCCTGGGTGGTCTGGGGTGACAGGTGAATAGCAGGCAAGGACAGAGCTAGGAGCTCAGTGGGGCTAGAACCAGACCCCAGTGACAATCCTTGTAACTGTGTGGTGGTGCCAGCAGGAGGACAGTGTCCAGTTATGGGAGGCTGCCCAACTCTGGAACTGTGTCTAGCAGTGAAGGGGGAACAACCATGGCTCTAAGCCCAACCCACACCCCAAAGCTCCTCATCCTTTCAGTCACAGTACTGTCCAAGGGGACATTTTTAATCCTTGGCCAGAAAGGAGAGCATTCTCTTTCCATGGCTCTCCCTTTTCATCACTGGGTAGGTCCCAGGGCAGGGGAAGAAGGTGGAGTTTCAAATTTGGGGGACCTCTGGGCTGCCACCAAGCAGGCCAGCCATTCCACTGTTTCAGTTTTGCTGGGGTTTCAACTCAAAGGCAATCTCTAGAGTAGGTTCTTGTGTGGGATAAGGGACCACCAAGGGCCGGGCAATGGGGAGCACAAGAAGCTCTTCCTCCCTGTGAGGTCCTAAGCAAATCACAGTGACCTTCTGACAACCTCAGGCAGTATCATGGGACCATGAATCATGGAAGGGGTAGGACTCGTATCTCCATCTCACTGATGGAGAAATGTGGCCCAGGGAAAAGACCTAATTTGCTCAAGGTCACATACTTAGTCAATGATGGAGCTTGAACTAAGCCCAGGTGTGTCTACCTAGTGTCTACCTAGTTCTGTGTTTCCTCTCCTGCCCCACAGTGCTACTCTCAGGCTCTGCAGGAATCAGCCCTTATTGGAATAATGGGAGGCTGACCTCAGCAATGGTTAAAGAGCCTTCTGATATTCATCCATTAGGTCTAGGCCACAACTTTAAAACAAGTGAGACACTGGACATTCATTCCATGGGCAAGTGTATTTGGGAAATGGTGGAGTACGCAGAGAAGCAGTCTTCCTCACTTTATGAGGATGTACACTCTGAGTCTCCCAGAGGAAGCTCTAGGCTGCCGTGTTCCCAGTTGAACATGACTACAGAACATCTTGTAAGACTAGAGCTCTGCAGAGCACACTCTGAGAAACACTGACCTAGAATGTACCCATTCCCCAAAGGCTGACCATTGGAAGCTCAGTCCACCTCCGCTCTGCCCACTCTGCTACATGGGAGTATCTCCAGGGCTCAGGCCTTGGTTGCATCCCTTCTCCATGACACCCTCCCACCTGGCCTGAACTTTCAGTGATCATCCATGTGCTCATGACACCCCAAGCCCCATCTCTAGATGGAGCCTCATTTCCAAGCAGGAGCTCCATATGTAGTCTCCCACACAACCCCCCACCTCAGTATCCCACAGGCATCTTAAGCTCAGCACATCCCAAACTGAAATCATCTCTCTCCAAAACCTGTTCCCACCCTGGTATTGAGTATTGACAAAGAGGCACCATCATCTACACTGTCACCAAGCAGGAAACCCGGGAGCCATTTGGAATGCTTTCTTCTCCCTCAACTCCCATGTCTATGCCCTGTCGATGTTTTCTCTCTAATATCTTCCCATGTCCCTCCTGCCCATTGACTCAGCTCAGACCATTCTATTTCTCACCCCCATAAATCTTAGTACCACCTCCCCCCTTCAATCCCCTCCAGTCTTTTCTCCATATTGCTTGCCAGTAACTTTCTAAATCACACATTGGACCCCATCACTACCTTGCACAAAACATTTCCTTGGCTCTCCACAGCCTATAGGATTTTTTTTTTTTAATTTTTTTTAAGTCGAGCTCACTCTGTTGCCCAAGTTAGAGTGCAGTAGCATGATCATGGCTCACCACAGCCTCAACCTCCTGGACTCAAGTGATCCTTCCACCTCAGCCTCCTGAACATCTCAGATTACAGGCACATGCCACCATACCTGGCTATTTTATTTTTATTTAATTTTTTTGTAAAAACAATTTCTCGCGATGTTGCCTAGGCTGGTCTTGAACTCCTGGGGTCAAGTGATCCTCCCGCCTTGGCCTCCCAAAGTCCTAGGATTACAGGCATGAGCCACCACACCCAGCAAAAATGCCTCAGTTATTTAGTGCTCTCTAAGAGCTTTCACAACCCTTCATGACCCACAGCAATCTCCAGCCTCAGATCCTATGACCCATCTCTCAAAATTGCCCCCCACCATTCTGGCCATGGAGCGCCCCGGACTCTCTTACAGTTATTATGCCTCCTGGAGCCTGAGAGAGTGGCAAGAAGTGGGGCACTTGCCTTTAGTCCCTGCCCTCCCCTCAACAGAAAAGCCCTCATCCTGCTAACACAATGATGGTTCAGGACCACGGAGAGCGTCCCAAGGGCAACCCCCCTTTCTGACCCTTTAGGCATGCTCTGCCTATGCTGCCTACCTCGCTCATTCTTCCCACTCGTCCTTCAGGAACCCCGCAGAGACACGACTTCCTCCAGGAAGCCTTCCCTGACCCACCTGAACAATCAGTCATTTCCTCTTCTTGACCGTTGGGCAAGTTGTGTGTCCCTCCATCACATCAAACTCATTATGCTGTTTTTGTTCATACCAGAGTTCACCCCCACCCTCCACCAACACACTGTGAGCCTCCAGGCCCCATGCCACATCTGATTCATCTCCACAAGTCAGTACAGAGGAGGTGTTCAGAGAATGTTTGTTGATTGAATGAGTAAATGACATTTAGCAGGTGCTCAGGAAATGTGTATTGATTTGCACCATGTGACTCAGAAACCAGCCAGATTCCTCTCTGGTCCCTCTGGAAAAGGCATTTTCTTCCTGACTGGCTCCACCCTCCATTAGTGTCCACCTGCCATTAGCCTCCACCCTTTGATTAGCCTTCCCCAGAGGCCCCCTCCCACGGATGGGGAGAAGGCACCTCCTCTCTGCCTCTGCCGTTGCCAAGCTGAGAACTTGCTGGAGTCCCCTTCCCACCCCCAGCCTGAGTCTGCCGAATGAGCTTTGCTCAGAACACTTCATCTCTGCCTCCCTCTCCTGCTTGGAACAGATGGCTCTGAGTCCCCACTAACACAGAAGTTTCTGTTCTGTCGTTTGAACATTTTTCACACTTTCTAAATTATAGACACTTCCGTCTCCTTTGATCATGGACTCAGACTTCAGAAATGAAGAATCTATTGAAGGACATTGAGTCCAACCTCTTCCCTGTTTTGTGGAGAGGACACATCTTAGAGATGGCCTGCCTAGTGATCATTGTAGTGGACACTACCTTTGTTTTTGTTTTGTGTCATTTTTTTCTTTCATTGCTGTTTTGTTTGGTTTTGATACTTAGAATCCATTCACCTTCCTAACAGCGCCCTACCTAGTTTTCTGGTCTTAATGGGGCTATAAATCAAGGCTTGGATATAGAATCCAACTAGTCCAACTGAAATCTCTTGTCCATGGCTTTAAATCTTGAGTAGGGTAGCAAAAGAATAGGGACAAAATGTCTGGAACTCTGGCAAAGACCTCAAAATAAGATGGGCCAGGAGCTCTGGCTCCTGAACCTCCAGTCTTATCAATTCTATGAGCTCCCAGCTGGGCACAGTGGCTCACACCACCTCATCTCAGCACTTTGGGAGGCCAAGGCGGGAGGATTGCTTGAGCCCAGGAGTTCAAGACCAGCCTAAGCAACATAGCAAGACCCCATCGCTACAGAAAAAAATTTAAAAACTAGCAAAGTGTGGTGGCATGCCCTTGTAGTCCCAGCTGAAGCTGAGGCAGAAGGATCGCCTGAGCCCAGGAGGCTGTGACTGTGGCCGTGGCAAGCCATGACTGTGCCACTGCACTCCAGCCTGGGCAACAGAGTGAGATCCTAACTCAAAAAACAAACCAAAAAAAAAAACTGACTGCTCCTGACATGATTGCAATAAATGCTTTTCCTGCTTAAGGCAGTCAGTTCATTTCTGTTGCATACAATCCATAACCCAAACTGATATGGTCACATATAAGGAGCACATACAGTCACACACCTCCCTGTGTTAACATAAAGCATGACTCCAGCAACCTCTGGCTGCCTCCTGCCAGCTCTCTTTAGAGGCTGCATTAGATCAAACAACCTCACAAGCCCACTCAGGCATGGAGAAAAGTCAAAACACTTCCGGGAATGAAGAAGACAGGCTGATGTCTGGTGCTGCAGGGGAACAGACCAGGATTGAAGTGTGGGAATCTGGATATGCATGCTCAACCCCCAAGCCTTCAGTCAGAAAAAGAGCTTTTGTCCATACCCTATGAGCACACCTTCACCTGCTCACACACCAACCTAGAGATGGGCACGCATAGGCACACACACATGCATGCAGACAGGCACACCTGCATGCCAGGATGATACCCGAGAGCTGGAATGCAGCATGTGTCTGGGAAGAGTAATTAACACGTAAAGAGAGCTGGGTCAGGCTTGAGGACTTGTCCTGCTGAGCTGCATTTTCCCTCCTGTTGACATTTCCAACAAACAAGTCCAGAGTGTTAGTGACTGGGATTACCCAACAAGTGCCCTTTAGGCTGGGAAGATGTGTTCTATTTACCAGACTCCTCCACTCTAGCCTAAGTGGCTGGGTTCTCCTGGGCTGTCATAGCTCTACACCTGTGACCTCAGCCCACTGTGCTTAGCTCCAAAGGGACAGCAGGTAGGAGTCAAATAAAGCTGGAGTGTGGTTTGGCTGCAGACGAGACATTCATCTCTGTCACTCCTGGGGTCTGCCAGTTCCAGAGCTCCAGCCCTGCCTTCAAACCACTTTGGACAACAGCATCCTATAAACTCCTGGCTAGGCATCTTCTGTGGTTCTGTCCTGAGAAGCACGATCATGCCCTGCCCAGCAACCCAAACATCAGAATGCACTTGAGTCAGAAGAAACTGCCCTGGATTATGGGATTAAAGCCTCAGCTCAACCACCACCTGAAGCCACTCTGATCCCAGCCAGTCTCTCTCACCACTTCTTCTCTGCTACAACACACACCCTCCTCTCTGCCCACACCACACCCCTCCATGACTCATTACATATATTCTGCCCCACCCCCTGTACCTTTGGCTGTCCTATTGGTTGCACCGAGAATTCCCTTCCCCCACACCTATTTACCTGCTCCAAAGTCACCTCCTCAGAGGCTTCTGAGGGACAGAATCCCTTCCTCTGCCCATAGATGTGCCTCACTTGACCCACCCTGTCCAAGGGCAGGGCTTGAGTCTGATTTCTGGCCTGTCATCTAGATGGGCACCTGCTGATACCAATAATGTTTGTAGAATTGGCATGGCTGAGGTTTCTCCTCTTCCTCTGCAGCCAAATGGACTCCGGGTCGGGAAGTGGCAGGGGAGGGGCTGATGTTCTGACTCTTGGGCAGTTCTCACCCATCTTCTGGGAGCTAAACCTTGCAGGGGTCCTCCCTGGGGCTGCTGGGAGGAAGAAGCTGGGCCTCTGGGTCTAGACCCAGCCTGTGGGAATCAAATGAGGCCTGGGTTAGAAAGTCACATCCAACACACATCTCAAATACAGCCAGGGAGTCTGCAGCTCTGAGAGGGATGGGGGCAACCCAAGTCACACCACCAGTAAATGCTGAGAGGGACTGTGACATCCTGGCTCCAGCCCAGAGTGGCTACCTCCTTCCCAGGAAAAACAAAACGTCTTCACAGGTCTTCCCTATAACTCAGGGCAGTCTATTTTCTGAGCTCCAAGCTTCAAGTCATGGGTCGGGGGCTGGTCAGCCTAGTGATGCCAGCCCTGAATGGGGGCTGACACTGAGGGTAAATGTGGGCTGAGCTGGGAAGTCCTGCTCCTGGGGTCTGTCACGGCCAACAGCAAGGGGCAGGAACCACACCACAGAAGGCAGCGACAAGGCGAGCAAGGGCCAGGGGGTGCCCAGGAGTCTGGGTCACAACTCCGCCCACAGCTGCTAGGAGACAGGCACAGCCTGGCCCGGCAAAGTGGCGATCAGCAAGTGAGCAGTGACGGCCTGGCTGGGCACCAAGGCAGGGGAGAGAGGCTCAGGCTCATGGGCAGAAAGGACATGCCTCCCCACTGCTGCCCGCCTGGAAGCTGTTGATCTCCTGCAGGGCCCACTGAGCCCAGCTGCTCTGAACCCAGTGGTGAGCATGGGTCCCACAGAGCCAGCCCTCCCTACAGTCTGTGCTGGGATCAGAGCATGGGCCCGGGAGAGGCGGGGGCTGCAGAACGGGGCAGGCCAGGAGGCTGCATGCACAACCACGCAAGCCCCTCATGGTTCTGGGGCAGCTGTGCCTGCGTCTGCACAGGCTTGGGCACTCCTCCGTGTGGTTCCCCAGGACTCAGAGCCACGTTCCTATACCAAGAGGAAACCCATTTCCAACTCTACGGCTCAGCCCCCACCTTTTGTTTAGTGGGTGGATTCACACAGAGGGATGTTCTGTGACCTTGTAGCCTGAAGAAGCCAGGTCAGAGTGGGAGACGCTTAGAAGCCCAGGCTGAGCTGCTCCCTCAGTTTCCCCACTGTAGGGGCAGTCCTGCATCCTGGCCTGGACCGCCTACCTCATCCACCGCCCCTCCTCCCTCCCAGCAGAGCCACCAAGAGGCTATAAATAACAGGGTGTCCAAAGGCCTGAAATCCATGGGCTTTGCACTGGCCACATTTTATTCGGGGTCCAATAGCAGCCAGGCTGAGGACCCCAGGCAGGAGCGGCCTTGTGCTGGGTGCAGGCGCAGGCCCAGGCCACCCGCAGGGGGTGCTGACAGCTCAATTCCCAGCCCAGCCACCCGGCCCTGCCAGCAGTCTAGCTGGGAACGAAGAAGTGGCAGATGCCGCTCGGCCGGGGTCCCTGAGCCATAGCCAAGGGCGGTCAGAGGCACTGCCACTATGGGAGACGATGAGGGCTGCAGGCAGGGCGAGTGCGGGGCGGGGGCCTCAGGGGTCCTCTGTGGAGGCAGCAGTGCCAGAAAGCAGGCCTTGTCTCTCCACGTCTGTGCTGTCCACATCCTTACTGCTGAGGGTCCCTGTGGGAGGGAAAAAGCTCAGCTGGCCCCAAGGAGGCAGAAGGTGCTTTGGGACCAGGCCTGGGCGCAGTCTGTCAGGAATCTTCTAGGTTCCATGTGCAAAATAAATTCCCAATCCAACCTCTTCTCACAGCTTTCAATACCACCAACACTGTCTTATCACCACTATCTCCCAGAGGGCCGCAGAGCCTGCCTCGCCTCTCTGCCTTGACACTGGCCCTCCTCATCTGTTCTGGACATAGCGGCCAGAGTAATACTTTGACAAGTAAATGAGACCACCTGGGGGCTCCTCTGTTGGAAGCCCCACAGCAGCTTCTGTCTCACCCAGAATTAAGGCCGCAGTCCTTTACAAGGACCTCCCCTCCTCGCTGCCAGGCCCCCATGCCCTGACCCCATTACTACTGCCCATATCCTGTCACTGCCCCCCTCACTCCTGCTCCAGACACACTGGCCTCCCCCCCAGTCCTCAAATGCAGCAGGGACATTCCCACTGCAGGGCCTTTGCACTAGCTGTCCCCACTGCCAGGAGGGCCTTCCCTCTGGTAGCTCCATGGCTCCCTCCCTCACTTCCTTCAGACCTCTGCACCAATGTCACCTGTGCAGTGGGGTTCATTGCTACCCACTCCCTTCCTGCTGTATGTGAGGTATGGCAGCACTCATCACCTTGAACATGCTATGTCTTTCACCTTTTTCTGAAAAAAAAGTCAACTTCCATAAGGACCCAGACTTGGCCTAATTTGTTCACTTCCCAGTGTCTGCAACCTTGCCTGCCACACAGCAGGGTAGGATAAGTATCTCTGAATGATTGAACAAACTAACAAACTGGCCAAGGGCTCAGGAGATGGTAGGTGCCCCCTGCCCCTATGGTGTGCAGCCCCGGACCTGGTCTGGTGCAAGGCATGGGGGTACCTGTGCCAGCTTGACAGGCCTGGGCCTGGTCTCTCTCCAGTGACAGCGCAGTCAGTAGGAAGCAGCCGCCCCCAAGGGCAATGACGAAGGGGCAGCACAGAAAGCTCTGTTGCAGGCTGAGGAAGCGCTGCAGGTAGGAGTTGGGGCGCCCAGCCCGCAGGGCACCAGAGATCTGTGGAGGAGGGACGAGCGTCTGCCAAGCCCTCCCAGCTGACCCCCAGGCCTTAGCAAGTGAGGTGCCTCCCCCAGACCCTCCCTGCCCCACACACTCAGACACGCCTTACAAGTCCTGTGAGATAGGGGCTGCTGGCATCTCCCAGAATGTGGCACACCGTGATCTGAAGCGCCTCTGCCGTCCCCCGGCACCTGGGCACCACCACGGACTGCAAAACACAGGCGCACTAGGGAGCACCCCAAGTGAGGGCACACCCACTGCCCATTCCCCACCTGCCAGGGACCTGCCTGGAGGAGTGGCAGGCTGGCCAGGTGAGAGTCAGCCCCCAAGGTCTGAAACCTCACCCCAGAACATCAGCCCCATCGAGGTTCATGAGGCCTCCTCAGTACCCCAGGATAGGTTGCCAAGGCCCCTGACGAGGGCCGCTCCTCATGAGAGTCTGCTCTTGAACTGGGAGGGGATCAGGCATGGTTATGACAACAGTGATGAGGTTGAGGTATCCATGCTCAGGGGCCCAGGAGGCAGCAGTTGCAGTTGGGCAGGGTGAAGAGTGACTACACACCAGGTGTCTGCATGTGCTGGCAGTGAGGCAGGGGTGGTACAGAGGGCTCAGTTCTTCTCTTGGAACTTCAAGACCCACTGGGCAAAGACCAAAGGCAGTCTTGCTGGAGAGGACCACATGACTCCACGGAAGAGGATGAGGAGGTTAAGATATAAATTCTAGGCCAGGCTCAGTGGCTCAGCCTGTAATCCCAGCACTTTGGGAGGCCAAGGTGAGTGGATTGCCTGAGCCCAAGGGTTTGAGACCTGTCTGGGCAACTTGGCGAGACCTCATCTCTACAATAAATAAAAAATCATCCGGGCATGGTAGCGCACGCCTGTAGTTCCTGCTACTTGGAAGGCTGAGACGGAAAGATCGCTGGAGCCCAGCAGGTCGAGGCTACGGTGGCCGGGAACAGCCACTACACTCCAGTCTGGGTGACAGAGTGAGACTCCAACTCAAAAAAAAAAAAAAATTCTGAGGCTGGGTGCTTTGAGAGGCCAAGGCAGGAGGATCACTTAAGGCCAGGAGTTGGATACCAACCTGGGCAATACAGCTAGCCACATCTCTACAAAAAGTTTTAAAAATTAGCCGGGCGTGGTAGCACGTGCCTGTAGTCCCAGCTACTCAGGTGGCTGAGGCAGGAGGATCACTTGAGCCAAGAAGTTTGAGGCTGCAGTGAGCTATGATCGCCCCACTGCACTCAGCCTGGGTAACAGACAGAGAACCTGTCTTTAAAAACAAAAAAGAAAAGGAATATGACTTCTGGAGTCAGACTATCTATATTCCAATCCAGATCCCTCACTCACCAGCAGTGCGACTTTGAGCAAGTCAGTTCACCTTTCTGTGCCTCTGTCTCCTCATCCACAAAGGGGGGTTATAATGGCACCTATCTCAAGTATCATGCTCATGATCATTATCCATCTATTACCTGGAGGCTTCGTGTGAACATCAGACTGAAATAACACCCTTCCAGCCACTTGAACTTGCTATGCTTTCTGCCTGATATGCCTGCCCCCTGTGGTCCAGCTGGAGCATCTCTATTTGTCATTAGGCCTTACCTTTAGTCACCTCCTTTGAGAAGCCCTCTCAGATCTCAGTGTTCTGTCTCAGAACCCTGAGCTCCCACTGTCCCCATGAATGCCCCCAACTGAACACCTGTCACCCAGAGCTGGGAGGGGTCCTTTGTCTACCTCCCCATAATCCCTACACTGTGTAAAGCAGTACAGCCCCTGACTAATTTCTCTTGGGGCCCTTGAGGTACAGCAATGCACGAGGCACAGAGGGGACTGGCTGAAAGCCTTCCAGCCAGATGAGTCAAGTAGATTCCTCTGGGAGGCTGGTCCCAGGGGAAACCCTGCCAGAACCCAGGGCTGCAGCGGGGCGGGGGAGGGGGGAGGAAAGGGGGGGGGGTTTGAGCAGAGACCACGTGGTCACAGGACCAAACCGGGCAGCCACGGAGCTTCCTACCCCAGAAACTTATCCCCAAGACCCAGGTGTCCATAATTCAAGCCCATAACACTCAATAATCATTTATTGAATGCCTCCTGTATGCATTTTACATATCAACTTGAACCACCCATGAGGGAGATATGATTATTATCTGAATTTAGAGATGACAAAGACCTCCACACAGGGAAGTGCCCAGAGTCACCTAGCCTGGATAGAGCACGTAGGATCCCCAGGCCGCCTCTCTCCCGGGCCTGGCCTTCTAACCACTCTGCTGTTATGGGCAAGGAGCAGCAGGCGTTTCCAGCATCGTTTACGTGTTTGTGACAGAACACTTAGAAAATGCAGAGAAAGAGAGAGAGGACATGTTCATTTCCATCGCTGCAAACAGGTGGAGAAGGAATTGGTAATGGGCAGAGAGACTGAGGAAGGGCGTTCCAGGCTGGGGACAGTGTAAGCAAAGATGTGGAGGCAGAATTCCAGGGACGTGACCTCTGGATTCCAGAACCCGGAAGACAGACACGGGTCTGGAGAGAAGAACACCGGTGGTGGGCAGGGCCGAGCGGCAGGAGTCAACCCATCCCGGGGTCACTGGCGCTGAGCCACTCTGTGCAGGTGGTGAGAGACTCTGGGCCTCTTGCCCACCACCAGGATCTGCCAACAAGCCTGAGAAGGAACTGACCACAGCTTTGCACCTTCCACAGGGACTTCCTTCTCACCCCATAATTATGTGATTACTCACTGGTGATTACTTACTGGGGAGACAGGTAGGGCTTCCTGGAGGAAGGATCCTGAATGTCAAAAAAGGTCTGCATGGAGGCTGGGGCTGCTTGGACCCCAAGAATAAGGTCCAGGCAGGGTGGCCCCTTCCTCACCTCGGTCAAGAACCCCAACCAGCTGGGCCCAGACCAGCCACTGCCGCCAGTGGTAGAAAAAGCAGATCTAGCCGGGCTTGGTGGCTCAGCCTGTAATCCCGTGCCTTTGGGAGGCTGAGGTGAGTGAATTGCCTGAGCCCGCGGGTTCGAGACCCGCCTGGGCAGGCAAGACCTCATCTCTACAATAAAATCAAAAAATTAGCCGGACCTGGTAGTGCGTGTAATTCCGGCTACTTGGAAGGCTGAGGCGGAAGGATCGCCGGAGCCCAGCAGGTCGAGGCTGCGGTGGCCGGGAGCGGCCACTGCACTCCAGTCTGGGCGACAGAGCGAGACTCCAACTCAAAAAAAAAGAAAAAGAAAAAGCAGATCTCTTCCAGCCTATTCTGGGTCCCCATTGTCTCTGTACAGCCAGGGGGCCAAGGTAGGCCCAGCAGCAGCTGGAGAGCCCAGGAGGTAATTTCAGAAATAAGAGGCTTTGGAGTTCCCAAAACTCTAGGCTCACTCTATTCTGAGACAAAAACACCTCTGTGCTTGGGGCTCTCTTCCTAGGAGAGCTGCTCCCTTTATAGCCCTGGGCAAAACCAGCGCCAGCTGAGGGCTTGCAGAAAGTTGGAGCAGCAACCACCAGGTGCAGACTGCCTGGCAGCCTGCCTCCTGCATTCCCCACTCAACCCTCACACCCAGACACCCCTGGGAGGGTGAGACAGACAAATGAGCAGACGGCTACCTGGGGGGCAGAGGCTGATCAGGGATGCATAGAGACAGGGAGAAGCACAGGGCAAGCAGGGAGGTGATAGCCCTCCAGGGGAATTCAGGGAAATCTGAGGAGGTGCAAAAGGAGCCTAGCACCTAGATTCTAGGACCCCAGAGGACAGGCCTGAGAAAGAGGGAGTGTTTCCCCTTCTGTTCTAGTTCCCATACTGGGCCCAAAGTGGCGCCCAGACAAAGAGGCAGACCAGGAGGGAGCTTGAGACCCCATGAGCAGGTGTGAGGGGTTCAGCCTAGGGAGACACAGGCTTGGGGAGCCACGATTTCAGCCTCCAGCAAGCAGGATCCTCAGAGGCCCCGCTGGGCCAGGGGGAGGCTGCCAGAGGCATGTCGTGGCTGTGACTGAGCCAGATCACCTTCATCCACAGGAAGCACCACCGGAGGCAGAGCTGCTTGGGGTGCAGGGAGTGAGCTCCCCATCAGAGGGGTATATGAACAAGGGAATGGTCAGAATTTTGCAAAGGATTCATGGACCAGAGAGCTGACTGTGCTGTACCCATGTTCTCAAGTACACTCCAGGGAACACTACAGCAGGATCACTTGGGAAGTTCATTAGAAAGGCAGCTCCCTGGATGCCTATGCAGGCCCACAGAATCAGACTCTGAGAACAGAGGGCCTGGAATCTGAATTTGTGACAAGCTCTCCTCAGCCTGATTCTTTTTTTTTTTTTTTGGATTTTTGGGTTTTTTGAGTTGGAGTCTCACTCTGTCACCCAGACTGGAGTGCAGTGGCCGCTTCCAGCCACCGCAGCCTCGACCTGCTGTGCTCCAGCGATCCTTCCGCCTCAGCCTTCCAAGTAGCTGGAACTACAGGCGCATGCTACCACACCCAGCTAATTTTTGATTTATTGTAGAGATGAGGTCTCGTCAAGTTGCCCAGGCGGGTCTCGAACCCGCGGGCTCAGGCAATTCACTCACCTCGGCCTCCCAAAGTACTGGGATTACAGGCTGAGCCACCGAGCCCGGCCTTAAACCTGATTCTTATACACAATAAGCCACTGGACCAGAGAGCCCCTGAAGCCCTTTCTCCAGAGAAAATCTGGATTCTCCCCCCTGTAGCTAGCGCATCGGAGAAAACAGTGTCCTGAGGCAAGGCCGATCTGGGGGTCAGTGGGGCCCACACCACCCGCTCAGGAACATGTGGGCAGTAACTCATGTCATCCTCATAACCTTGGGCAGAATTGATAAGTACTACCCCTTGCCTATTGTACAACTGAGCAAACTGAGGCCCAGAGAAGTTCTGTCACTCAGCCAGGGTCACATAGCTAGTGAGTGGCCGGGCTGGGAGTGGAAGCAGATGGACTGTTGCAGAGTCCTGGTGCCTAGGCTCTGCTGCCCTCTCCCCTCTGACCCTCCCACAGGCTCCAACCTCCCAAAGACCTGCCATTTCCACCCGTTTTACCATCAGCCCCTCGTGACTTCCTCTGCAACCCAGAGCTGTCCATCAGAACATCCGCCTCCCCTAGCTCCTTACTCCCCGCGTTTTGTGCCCTCTACACACCGTCCCAGGCTTCCTCACACCCTCAGGCCCCTGCCCAAAGAGATGCGTGGCCCCTGCCTCAGGAGCAAGTGCAGGCCAGCAAAGGGGACCTTTCTCCATTTCCTGCCACATGCGTGGGTTCCCACATACATCCTGCCCCTGCTCTAGATCCCAAGCCCTGCTCGGCCCCCAGGGACCCCCTTCTCTCCACCCACTCTCCCCCCTGCCCCTGGAGGCTGCTCTGGCCTCACCTGTTGGAAACAACGCCAGCTCCCTGTGATCTGCCAGCTCCAGCTGCCATGTCCCCCTCTCTCAAAGCAGCCCTGGAGCGAGCTGTCTACACTCAGGGTCCTCCTTCCCCTCCCTCTCCCTCCTCATCCTGTTCCGAGCTGGTGCCTGGCCCTCCACAGAAAGGGTCCCCCATCACCTGCCTCTGCCAGATTCACAGCAAATGAGGGAGCTGGACCCTCATTTGCTGTGAATCTTGCAGAGGCAGGGAAGACTGGCCTAGCTCTGATCCCTAAAGTAAAGGGCATCTTTGTCCAAGGGGTTTCAGGACAGTGGGGAGGCAGGAGACAGGGGGCAAGACGCCTTACTGAGGTGGTGGACCTTGCTAAGCTTTGGGGGCTCAAACCAGCAAAGGACCAGGGGGAGCCCTGGGGTGAGCTGGATCATGTCCAGCCAGCTCCCCAGACAAGTCACACTACACGTCTGTCTGGCCCCTAACTCCCCTCTCCCACCCCATGCACGCACACTCCTCTTCAGTTCGACAAAGAGCCTGGCTATGCCAGGTTAATTATTCTTGTAAACACAGACATGGGGGGGACACAGGCACAATCTCCACATATCTGTGGAGCTGTCATGTGGAAAAGGGAGCTGCGCAGTGGGGGGCAGGTGGAGGAAGCCGTAGGGGGCAGGTTCAGGTTTGAACCGCCTAAGAGAGAACAAGCTATGTTGGGGGTGGTTAATCTCCCTGTGCCCCCAAGTGGACAGTTTCACAAAGGAAAACATTGGCCAATGCCCTCCTATTTACTGAGGACTCTCCTGCAGGCTGTCTCGGTCACCCTACCAGGCAGGTTGTGATTACCCCTTTTCACAGACAAGGAAACTGAGGCCCAAAGCCATTCAGCAGGTCCGTGGCTGAGTCTGGGCTGGAACCCAAGTGTTCTGGAGGGAAGGGCAGAGAAGACCTACCAGTCCTGCGCCTGATACATGTGCCCAGGACCAAAGTCAGGGCAACCCCCACCATGCTCACTGAGCCTGAGCCAGGGGGAGGGGGCGGACATCTTCGCAGGGAGTGAGCACCCTGTCAACAGGAATATTCAAGCAGGGCTTGTTGACTAATTAAATGACTATACATCCCCACCGCCCTTTCAAACTCAGATTCTAGGACACCAGGATTTATTTGAGGGATAGAAAAGGAGAAAGAAAACTCTGAATCACTGTGAGAATTTAGCCAGTATTATCGGTGCCAGGCACTAGGCAAAAGCTTTACATGGATAATCTCATTTCACCCTCACAACAATCTGTGAGATAGGTACTATTATTACCCTCATTTTCCCCACAGGGAAACTGAGGCTCAGAGACACCCAGTGACTTGCCTGAAGCCACACAGCTCATACGTGGCAGGACCAAGGCTGAAAGCAAGGCCTATTTCCTGAATCCAGGCTCGTCCCCCCTCACTGACCTGCCCTCAGGACAGTTCTTGGCCTATTGCCAGGCCATCCGGCTACCTTGTGCCCAGCACTAGACTGTGCCAGGTTTTTGGGGTGCTCCCAGACCTAGGACACTGTGTTATCTACAAAGGCACAGTCCTTCACGGTGTTCAAAATCCTTTCGGGTGCATGTGTCCCAGAAGGAGGCAGGGAGGCTAGATGAGGCTCAGGATAGGGCCGTGCTGGTCCCTGGACACAGCAAACTTATGTGGTCAGGACAGCATCAGGCCTCGCTATATGCTGAGTCTGCCACTTGCATGGCAACCCGTGACACACAAGCTGGGAAGTGCTGGACCCAAAGGGCCTCAGCGGCTATTGCCCTGAAGTCCAGCATTCCCATCTGCACACCCCAGCATGGAGGCCAAGGAGCCTGCTTGCTGAGAAGTAGTGTGCTAAAGAAAGAAGAAGGGGCCAGGCTCGGTGGCTCAGCCTATAATCCCGCGCGTTGAGGGGCTGGGGTGAGTGAATTGCCTGAGCCCGCGGGTTCAAGACCTGCCTGGGCAACTTGGCGAGACCTCATCTCTACAATAAATCAAAAAATCATCCGAGTGTGGTAGCGCGTGCCTG